CACCAGTGACAAAAAAATAATTAAAATAAAATAAAAAGAAAACAAAATTATCCCTTAATAGCATAGTCGAGTGGCTTTGAGTTAGTTATAGCTAGTTATATACCATTTTAGTCCTTAGGGGTAGAAATGCTGAGGCTTCACAAATGCTAGAAATATTTTATAACTGATTTTCGAAAGGGGAGGAGAGAATAACAATAAGTGAATAAATAGTAACATATGTATATTTAAAATAATTACAATAATAGTCTCATGAATAAATAATCAATTTATATTTAGGAAATAAGGCACAAACTTTTGATAATAATTTAACTTAATACGCAACATTATGACATTACAAAGTTCCTAATGAATTATGTAGTTTCAACTAATTAACAACTATAATAGTACGGGAAAGTTTTCTTAACTGTATATAATAAATATAAGATATATAAACTTTTGAAGAAAACGAAAAAATTGGCATTTATATGGAAATCAATTAATTGTATCAAAACAAAACTAAATAACACTTTCAAAACAACAATAAGTAAAGATAATTACATCTGGCATACAAATCGCTGCACAAAACTTTACAAATGATGATTGTTCGGGACATACAGGGTCCCGAAACGAGTATCTCGGGCAACATCCCTTACTCAAGTCTCGTTACTCTCAAGTCTCTCCTGTCAACTATCGAAAGTCTATTTAAACCAAAAATTCATGTGACAGGTTAATTATTCTCAATATATCACCTTGGATAATTATTTAGCTCAATGTAAGCCATTGACTGAAGTAATAACCTAATTGTTTGGATTATTTTAATACGTGTGTTTTCTAGTTGAAGATTCAGTTAAAACATTAATTATTACAGTAACTCTAAAATATAAAGCCCAAATAGTATAAAGATTCCTAAGTTAACAAATAGCCTGTCAATAATGAACAGACAAGACATTTAAAATGCATCTAGTAGTAATTCTCTTTTAGGCAAGAAGAACATTTTCAGGATGGGTAGAACCTCTCCATCCAGACTGTGATTCCATAATTGATTCTAGATTGTAAATAATTCTATCTGTTGGAGTACCATCTTGGTTATTTCTTATTTAAATTTATATATTTTACAGTTTACAGCTCTCCTTTGACTAATTTGTTCTTTCGAAATTTTTTCAAAATAATTTTTTGGTACTAAAAATGGTATATTAACGCTTAATTAGAAGATAATAAATTATAACTAGATTTGACATTATAAAGTAAGGTGCACCGACTGCACCGTCTCGGTAACGTAGTTGTATCACGCGATTCTATTCACTTAGACAATTTTGTGGTTAGGAGATATTCGGCTTCGAATACTACAGCAGACCATGTGAATTTTTAATTAATTTGCATGGTTTGTTATAAGATTTGATGGGTGCCGTAATAGCAGTACTTTACTTTTTATTTTTTTTCCTGGGCTCCTCTGACTATGTCTCCGAATAACACTGAAGCCTATTGTCTTATTGTGTTTTACCCCATGTTAGTTCATAGCACCCACTCTGTCACCTTTGTACCTTGTACAAGTTTGTATAGATCCTTATGTGAGTGGGTTCTATACGTTGTTGGATTAACCTGGGGTTGTCCAAAAAGAGCATGTCTTTTGCGATCTAGAGCTTCGCATTCGCACAGTATGTGTTTGGCCGATTCTAGTTTCTTGTGACATAGTCGGCACATGAGTTCCCATTGTACATGCCAATTTTGTTCAAGTGTCCCTTTACTGGGGCGTGCCTAGTCATGAACCCTGTTATCACTTTCAACTGGTTCCTATTCATAAAGAGTAGTTCTCCAGTTCTTTTGGGACATGGTCTGCCTATGAAGGCTTTTCCATGTGCCTGTTTTGGGATGCTTCCCCAATAGTTAATATGTTGTTCCCGAATCCAGTCGTTTATGAAACCCCGGACTGTACTTTTTGGTACTACTGGGTTTATGTCTGATTCCGATGTTTCTTCTGACCATCTTTTTGCAAGTTTGTCAGCATTTTCGTTGCCTTCGATCCCTTGGTGACCTGGCACCCAAAGTAGGTTTACTCTATTTCGGTCTGCCAGTGTTCTTAGTTCTTCGATGCATTCGACGTAACGTTCTGACTCGATATGGCCTTAAGTGCCGCTTGGCTGTCTGACATTATTTGAATATGATGATTTTCGACAGCTCTTTGTTCGTTTTTGCACATTACAAAATTGCGTATATCTCGGCCTAAAATACCGGAGAATGTATTCCTATAGCATAGCTATGGTTAGTATCAGGGTTTTTGGAGAATACTCCCACCCAGTGCCTTCCGCAGTCTTAGACCCGTCTGTTAATATGGCATACCAAATACAAATCGCCGTGAGTTACCGGTTCGATGATAGTGGGTGAGGTTTTCCGGGGTTTCCTCACATGTAAGTCAAATGGTACCATCTTTCTTCTTTAAATAACCCCGGAGCGCCACGGAAAATAATAATAGCCGTCTCTTCCCCACACAAGCTCAGTCGGCTTCAGGGGTTGAAATTCACTCGTAAGGGAGACTGAGAGTATTATTATCATTGTATTAGATGGTATTGAGAAACAGGAGTTTTTATCCAATTTTTTATTTGTCATATAAGTGGATTTAAATATATGCCTTTTAAATTAGATTTTAACAGATTGAACTCAATCCTTCAAATAAGAAGAGAACGACTATGTGTCTGGCACTCCCATATTATAGTTTATATTCTATTGGCCTGACAAAATCGGTAGTGAGACCTAATTAAAGAACATTCCCTCGTCAAATTCAAGGAAAGGTGGGATGAAACAAGAAAATGAAGAATTGCCAGAGAGCCTTTAAGTTATCCTGACAACACTACAGCAAACAAATACTTGACTATGACTACACAGAATCTGCGCTTGATCACAGGCATTCTTACTGGTCATTGCCAAGTACGGAAGCATCTCCATATCATGAAGTTGTTAGAATAAGCACTCTTTCAGGAGGGTGCGAATAAGAAGATGAGACCATTGAGCATATTCCTTTACAATTGTCCGACGCTCTCATTTATTAGAAGATTTGTGTTCGGTTAGTATCGGGTAACACCGGCCTGTATAAGAGAAGCACCTCTTCACGACGTTGTCAACTACATTAAATCTCTACAGGCTCACGAGCTAAGAGGTGCCTATCATCTTAGGAGAATGTACAATGGGCCTAGTGAGGCCTAATGCCGTGGGGTAACCCTTACAAATACAGAGATACAGATTATAATTTATATTTAAAAATGTCACGTTGAATACTAAGGTAATAATTGTCTTAATAGGTAATATAAAGTATAACTTGACAATAATGCCTTTTGTTGAATTTTAAAATGAAATATACATTTTTTGGGAATGGAACAATTTGCCAGCCGTCAGGATATAAATTTTATAGTAGGTTTATAATTAAGACTTGGTTATAAAAATTATATTTTTTTATTTACATGCATTTTAATAGCCTATTGCCTACTTTGATGTTCATAATATTAAATAAATATTATTTTTTAATTATAAACTTGACGGTGAACCGGCGACGGCCAATCGGATGACGGGGAGTTGTCCCTACGGCGAATTGGCTACGGCAAATTGGTAACGATCATTGAAATAGAATACATAGGAGATGCTATGACGATGCTAAAAGTGCCCGCATTACACTTTTACATCATAAGTCAAATTCTAGCTAATGAAACTAGTCAGTTTTGGTAAGAATAAAATTAAATGCCATTTTTTTGAAACAGCTTCATTTTAAAGATATAAAAACATTTTCATTTCGTCAATATTCAAATATAAAATTATTGACTTCAAATAAATCAAAATATAACTCTAAGCCGCCATTTTGATTACACTATTCCATCACTCGAAGTGCGTTCATCTGTCATATCGCAAAATAGTGAATATGTCATCTCTACCTTATTTTATCCCGATGACAATGATGATTTAGCGAGTCATATAAGTTTTCTTCCAGCTTATTTACAAAAGACAATAAATTGTTGGGAAAACAATCCCCATTTCTTACGGGTCTAGATATGATAGATCAAAAAATAATTTACCCATTCTAACCTAAATTCTGGGAATTTTTTAAAATTTTATTAAGTTGTTATATTCTCGTAAACCCTTTTACGAAACAACCTTCTTAGTGCGCCTTTGGTCGACAGCGGAACAGATTCAACTGAGACACTAGATTTCAAAAACAAATGAAGTGCAAAAAATAAAACGCTCTTCTTAGCAGGGATTCGTTTATTACATAGTGAGTGGCTCTAGCTTCGAATTGGAGCTAAATCGATGGAGATTCTAGAAAAAGGATTTCAACACTGGCAAAAGCTGACAAAAGCCTCTTAGATTTATAGTATGTGAGCTGTATGAAATAAGTGCTATTTTTTAGTTTTTTTTTTCTTCAGATTTCACTTACTTCTTTTTTAAAGCAAAATCATAATCTAAGGCTATAATATTGACAACATAATTAACAGTGCGTTTGGTACATATAACACACGTGTACTTGAGGAGTTACTTATCTTGAAAACTGCACCATAGTAGGTATTTTCAATATTAAACTGAGGGTAGTCATTTATTTTTATATTTATTTATTAAATACACTGTTCTACAAGTAATACCCAATCACAGAATAGGAAAATATAACAAACATATTTAGATAAGATACATAAAAATTAGAAATGTTACAGGAAATTTAGTATAATCATCATTACCTTAAATGAGGCGCCCAGATGCAAAACCAGATGTTTCTAATTTTAAAATTTTTGCGGGAAATGTATGGATATTTTAAATGTGAAAATACTGCTTCGATTGCAAGCCAAACGTTTAAAACAAGTTATATCCAATCATATAAAACATGCAAATGCATATATATTCAGTAACGTATTATCCATATGGTCTTCAAGCGGAATATTTGGAAACAATCATAAGCAGTTATATCCAGTAGTTTGCAGTCACGAACAGATCTAAGGCTTTGCTCCGATGGATGTTAGGAGCAACATAAAAACCATACAATGATCACAATGGTATGTACGTAGCTCCAGCGTGCAGCAACGTACGTAAAATCTGTTGAATTGGTATTTTTAGCCATTCATCATTCATATATTTCACCGGATAGGGTTTTTGCTAATATCGAGAAAAAAAATCCGCAAAAAGAATACCATAATAAATCCTCAAGAATACTTATTTAGCGAATTCGGAAGTGTTCAAGTACTTGGCGTTAATTGGAAAGTCTACGACTGGCAAGAACAAGTCAAAGCACATGTGCGTGATACTTCATCATTATCGTTTAAAATTAATTCCTGCAAACGTGTAATTATGACAAAAAATACTAAAGGCAATGTCGTTGTTCAAGGCGAGCCATTTTACAGGCATCTTATATGCACCGCTCAAGGTATCTGTAAAAAAGAAAAAACATTGTATGACATCAATCCTGTTGAAATGAGTACTGGTCATCGCAACATCAATTCGGAAAAGATCAAAAACGTGGATGAACTCTTGACAGGCCTTTTTGGTTCTACTTGGAAAGAGGAAGCTAAAAATGTACGACTTCAGTATTATCGAGATGTGTTATGCGATGAAAACCGTGGCAATGAAGAAGTAGAAGAAGCTCAAGAAGAGCTCATTTGTGAGCCTCAAGAAAACGAAAATAAATTTGTATAACTACTTTTCTTATTTAAGTTATAATTAATTTGTTAATAAAGTTCTTAAACTCCTTCACTTATTATTGCAAAGTGCCTATTACGATAGGTCTCTTTAATAATAACACTATAATAAGAAACTATAAGTCAAGCGAAATTCAAAATAAGATATTTTTCATTCCAACTTTAAAAACCAGATATTTTCATTTTTTTTTTCGGATTTATTAGACTTCGATAAAAGTCTACGGTTTTTAAGAAAATATTAACAAAAGTCATATTTTAACCCTCTGTATTGAAAATTCATAGAGAAACCGAAAATTGTAAAAATGACAGTTTTTGCGGTTTTCTCAGTTTCACTTATGACGGATATATCTGGTTTTGCATCTAGGCGCCTCAAATAGAGTTTTTTGATATCCTGATTACTAATGTGAAATATTTTCAATTCTTGACATATCCGATTATAATTATTACAGATATTATGCAGAGGTGAGTTCTTAGAAACATTAGTACGAGTTGTTGGCAAGTAAAATGAGTCAGTGTATCTTGAGGCTCGACGTGGGACTTTTAAATTAAGCATGCAATATGTAGTAAACATGCACAGTTTATTTGATTGCTTATAACCTTATACAGAGTTACTACAGATAAATATTTGCGCCTTATGTCGATACTTTAAAATTCATGTTTATTTAATAAATCGTTATGTGGAGTACTATTGTGTGGATAAAAAGATCACATCTAAAACTTAGGTATTTTAGGAGTGGTCTGATTTCCTACCAATCGACCAATTTGCGCTTGATACAGTGGACTCTATGTAACTGACGCATATTCAATTCAAGCTTGGATCGAACTAAAGCATAAAAGATAAATTTTATTGTTACTATTACTGTTCAGAATGTCGATTTCGGATAATGAGAAAGAAACTATTTGTACTCCTCCAGATATAATTAAAACAGCAAATAAAGCTACATCCGAGCTATAGCAGACTTATTGACCGATAAATCTAAAAAAGTATATGAACTTTGTTGTAGAGAGTTTATACAATTGTGTGACATAAAGTTTGTTATAAACATTACCGAAAACGTCCTCCTGGAGTATGTAATAGAAACATCAGAGATAATATAACCATTGACGTTTTGATCAGAGTATTACACTTTTAATCAATAAACATGAGAAAATTCGATATTTTACTAAAATAATTCCATTTTTGAAAAAGGGTACTGTCTGAAGAAATCAATTTTTTTACCCGTCAATCAATTTTAATTCATGCTCCAGATAATAAATATCTATTAAGGAGTTAACAAAAGCAAATGATGTTAATTTCCAACTTCATTCTTGTGTTTTATAAATGGTTGCAGTATTTGGCATTGCACTGTGATAATTTTCGATAACAAAACAAATCTAGACCATTTGTAATGAGCAATAAAAATTAGATGAGATGTTTTAAATTTGAAATGTATCGCAAATGTTGATCCCTCTATAAGTCACACTAGATATTTGTTTAGAGATTATAACGGAAAATGTTGAGTTTAACCTGTAAATATATTTAGTACAATTCTAAGTAATATTGCAAAATACTTAAATATTAAAAACCCAATGCAATACACATGATATTGTTTTCGCAGATCTTCTGCAACATTACTTGTGGAATAGGGGACTGACATATTAACATTAAAACACCATGGAAGATGAAAATCTTCAACTTCAGTTGAAGGCTAAATTGAGTTAATAAAAAACTGTAATAACGGCTCAAATTCTGGAAGATGAACCAAGTACCAGTATCGAAAACTTTACAGCAATAAAAAAGTTTTAAGTAAATAACCTGAGATCTCCACAAGCAAAAACGAAACCAAAATTCAAGAAATTACTGGAAGTTAAGTTTGTCCATCAGTTATCATAGTAAATTGCTCTAACTGCGGTATTAAAATTAACTCAAAACCAGTGGCGGTTTCTCCATTGGTTCATTTGTGCAGTGAACACCCAGTTAAATTTCATAAAAACACATTATTTTAAAATAATTAACAAAAATATTAATTCAATTTTAATAACTTTATTGTTTTCATACGTGTTAATATCTATTTTTTGGGTACGCCACTGCGCTCTGGCTAATCGAGTTTTCGTGGTACTCTTTTGTCTGAAGGAGTGAGAGGGTTCTCGAAAGTATTTAGCTAGAAAGAGATGTCACACGTTAACAGATCCGTGGATCATAGTGAAACAAACATAAAATCACTTTAATCTGCTTAATTTGCGCAATGCACACAGTGACGTCACAAATTAGGGCGGGTTATACGAACTTTCTAATCATTCATATGAAATAAAGAGGAGATGCTATGACGATAGTAAAAGTGTCCGCATAGTTTTACGTCATATGTCAAGTGGAGTTAGTCAGTGATAGTGAGAATAAATACCATTTTTTTTTAAATAGCAGTACTTAAATGCTATAAAAACATTTTCATTCAGTGAATCTTTAAATATAAAATTATTAACGTCAAATTAATCAAAATACGACTCAAAGTGCGTTCACTTGTCATATCGCAAAATAGTGTTTATTTCCTCTCTATTTTATTTTACCTTAATGTTTCCAAGCAAGCTGTCAAACTCTAAAATTCACCATAAGACAATTTTAATTGTGTTTATTTAAAAACCGTGCTTAAATAAAATTGAGAATTTAATAAATCGGAAGTATCTGTGTCAATTTAATGATTGTTAACGAAACACGTCTCCAAGTTCCAAGACCTCTTGATAAAATTTGTGTATGAAAGTAAAGTAATGTCTTGACGGGCCCCTAGACAAGAAGAAATGTTTTCCTTTGCTTATTCTTTGCTTGGCTTATCTTCTGTTATATATTTTTCTTCTTTTCTTGCTTAGGACAAAAGTGTGTATGATTGAATGTATGTATTTAGAGTGATAATGCAATTTAAACTTATATAATATATTCCGCGACTGGTTAAATGGCAAGTGCCCAAGCCAAAAAAGAATGTTAACGAAACACGTCTCCAAGTTCCAGGTAAAACATTTACTATTATTTTTGAGGTTATGTTTATATTTTGTTTTGTCAAGTTTCTACAAAATAGTCATGTGTGTTATACCCAACTCTAAAATAATTTTGCGTATTTTTATTTTAAATTTTTGTGTATTTTTTATATTTTTATTTTATTTTCATACCAGAGGTGTCCATACAGAAAATTATTTCTGGTGTTTTTAAAGTTAAAAACTTGAAATTGTGTGTGGTTCTTTAGTATAATGAACAGTGTATCTCATGAATTTTTACAAACTGGATCTGTAATTAATAAAAAAACGAAATATAAATAATCGAAATTTACGAGATGAAAATATGTAACTAGCAATTCTTAAGTACATTAATTTAGATTCAAAGCTTTCGTTGAGAAAATTATGCGAAGTTTCGAGAGTGAGAAAATTAATCTTTCAACAAAATACACCCTTATAAAATTCAACTTCGGCAATAGTTGGATGACGGTGAGTCCGATAACAGAATCGAATTTTACGATATAATAACAGATATGTTCTGGGAAATATTAAATGGTCTTGTAAGTAGACACAACTGTCGATAATGGAGCGACGTAAATCCCCACATTTTCCTAGAAGGCCACACACAATATACCCAAAAATTTTATGTATGAGCTAAAATTCTTAATAACCAAGTAATTGGCCCAATATTTTTCCAAGAAAATTTAACTGGACCTAAGTACCAACAGTTTTTGGAAGAGCTAATAGATCCTCTTATCATACAGTGTATGGAAGAAAACTTGAATAAACTAGAGGAGGATCATATTACTGTTTAGAAATTAGGAACTATTTGAATAATCTTTTTCTGGGACGTTGGATACGAAGTCAGCTCGCTCCCCCAACTCCCCTATGTTTCTTTTTGTGTGGAGATTTGAAGTCTGTTGTTTATAAGACACCATCACCATCAATAGATGATTTACGTAATAAAATAACAGCGATATCGAAATTTAACGTCACAAATGTAAACGGTGAACATTTTGATAATTTAATTTAACTAAAATGTTGTAAATAATTCTTGTCTTAAATATTTTCAGAGTTAATAATTTCTGATATTTAAATCTTCCAACTTTAAAAATCTCAAAAATTTCATGTTTTTTTCACATAGAGATATCAAGAAAATTGCGGTCTTTCAAAATCAACCAAAAAAAAAACCTAAAATCTTGGAGTGGGGTCGCTGAGAGCGGTATGAGATGAACTGTTCATTGTATCCCTATCCCTATATCCTGAACAACCACACAAAATTTTAAGTTTTTATCTTCAAAAACACCAGAAATAATTCAAAATTAAGTTTTCGTATTGACAATATTTGTTATATTTTTAGATTGCTTTTGCTAAATTAATTTTTGTTATTGGAATCTTTTCCTGTTGAGCAGTAAATTTTTATTCATTATAACTACAAGCTCCAGTAGCATAATTGATAGTGCAGCGCTGAATAAACGAAGGTCCAGATTGAATCCCTTAATTTCGTAGGGGGAATTGGGGATTTCATCATATTTCCAAAACTTGTTAATACATTTTAGTAGCTCATTCTTAAATCCAAAGCTCATTAATTTTTTTAAACACTAACACTATTTTCGGCCATTCTTAATTATTTTGACTACCTATCTTACTTCAGTTTCTCTCTTTATCACTTTTTTGACGCTTTTGAGGTACTCCGTTTCAGTTACTTGGATTCTGTATGTTATCAATAAGATCGATTTATCATCTTGATATTAGTGATAGTAGCAGCAGCAGCAGTACTACTGATACTTTCATGATTGGTAAACTGCTCTTAGTTAATTTTCATATATATGATTTATTCAGCCCATATACTATTTGGCCTTTCTAGCAAAAACACTACGATAATATTTCCAATCTATTTCAATAACGCTATCAGAGTAGTCGTCAGCTATCGACGTCGTTCCTAAATGAGTACTTATCCAGATTTGCAATACCAATAGAAAAATCCAATTACTCGAGTGTAACTTCCATTAGGCTTAATGGAAATGATGATTGTTG